TGGTCTCCACCTGACACACACCCCCACACCAATTCAGAGAATTCTCTGGGGAGCGGGGTGGGGGCTGCCTGATGCCTTCTTGATCCCCAGCAACAGCCAAAGCCCGGCAGCATGCGGGTGCGGGGCGGGCATCTCCTGACAAGTGTTAGCGCACCCACAGCACAAGAGAAGATGGCAAGCTCAGTCCGACCACGGGCAAGGGACCTGAGAACGCCCTTCTACGCAAAAACACACAGAGGCTGCCAAGTAAACCGAAGAGGCACCGCTGCTCATCATAAAGGTTAAATCCAAAAGGAGACACCATCACACACCCCTCACGAGGTTTACCTTAAAGACAGAAAAAACAGTGCTGGCTGGATGCAGAAAAACAGAAGCTCCGTGCAGGGAGGGAACTGCGGACAGGAAACCGTTCTCACTGACCCAAGTGGCAAGGAAGTCACGAGCTCGGTAACAGGAAAAGACTGAAGAGGCCCTGCCTGGCATCACGGAGGGAAGGGCCCGAGAGGCACCACACCCGTGAAAACACGCTGACTGACGGACCAGACAGGCGGGCCGGGGTCGGGCTTAACGTTGCCGTTCAGAGGGGCGACGTCTACAGGGAGGAGCCGAGCCTGGCAGGCAGGGGCTGAGGAAGGGCCCAGGGGAACAGTCACAAAGAGTCCGAGCTCCCCCTGGGGACTGGCCTGGCCTGGCCTGGCCGGGGATTACGGCGTTGGCCGCAAAGTACGAGCGCACTGCGACCTGCAAAGGAAAGTCACGACTTCCTGCTGTGTAAACTGTGTGTCAGTTTACCAAAAAAAAAAAAAAAAAAGAACTGATGGAATGCAGGTCAAATTTAGAGGACACCCACTTGCTGAAGGTTCACCCTCAAGAGAAGAGGCCCCCCCAACGTGGGACAAACACAAACCCCTCAACACTTTTGACACGTTACAAACAACACAGGTGGACCCGCCATGCCTCTTCCACAAGCACAGCCTGGCAACAGCAGGGCGCCCCATCGGAGGAGCTGATCCCCGGCCACCCGCCCAGCACAGACGTGTACCCAGGGTCTGCTCCAGCTGCCGTCCGCACAGAAGCGGCTACAAACAACTAGTGTCCGGACACACAGCCCAGAGAGGGCAGCCACAACAGAGGCGGCCCCCGCACAGGCTGCAGGTGGACACAGGGCCACGCAGAAGACTGCGTGACAAGCCCCCAGCGCTGTCAGGGCCCTAAGGACAAAAACAGGACAGTACAAACACCAGGCCGGGCAGAAGACTCACCCCCAGTCAGTGCCCTCAGGCCTACACACCTGGTAGCAACGAGAAAACGGGGTTCTCCAGAAAAAAAAAATGTGGCAACCAAACAACAATGGTCTTAGGGCCCAGAATCCACGTCCCTGCGAGCCTGCACGGGCTTCCATGAGCCACGGCGCCTCCCGCACAAAACCTGCTCCAGCGAGAAACTCAGCGCTCCCTCCATACCTGAAACTTCTTAACTCCCGTGAGACGAGAGAGCTCTCGGAACTCCAGCTGAATGCTTGTCACCTCAGCCACCGTGCTGTCAGAGGTCCACCGGGGAGGGTGGGCAGCGCCAGTGCCAATGTTTACATCGGAGTACGGGATCTTGGACGGTGTCTGGAACGCAGGCATTAGCCGATTTCCAAAATCCTCCTGACGCACAACACAGCGCTGAGTCAGCAACTCCTACACACGGTGGCCCCGTCTCGACACTACCACACTGACCCATCACCCGCTCCATCCAACTGAGCAGAGGGACGTTGACTTTGCTGGCTTCACCCGGCCCCAGCACTCAATGGCAGCAAAACTGCTCTGAGGGAGGCTGCCTGCAGCAGCCAGGGACAGGCAGGGCCGCTCCAGCTCAGGCCCGAGCACAGAGACTGGCTCCACACCCTGGAGGAGATGGAGCTGACATAGCCCCCAACCCTTGAGGGAAGGAATGACTGCAGAACACTCAAGACTCGCACTCCCCAGGGAGACAGACGACCTGGTGCTGGGACACTCACAGCCTTCTGCAGGAAGAGGACGTCCCCTGACAGGTGGAAGGCGCTCAGGAGCCCCCCCAGGATCCGGATTGTGCTCTCAAACAGGTTGACGTCCACGTTCTTCTGAAACTCTAACTTCTTGGACACCCACTTCTTGGCTTCTTCAAACTCTAACACATGAAACAGAAGAGCCACAGGAAGACATTCATACTCCCAGAGCCCCCCCGACCACGGCCTCTGGCTCGACATGCGTTCCCGTGTCTGCCTTTCCCTGCAGGGTCTCAACATCACTCCTAGTGCAGAGGCCCGGAGGCCTTAGTTCTGCAGACAGAAGGGAGCCCGCACACAGCTGGGAAGCCCCTGCACGTGGGGGCACGTGCTCGTCATCTAAGGCCCCGCTACACGGGACCCCAGGAGTCACCACGAGGCAGGCAGTCTTCAGCCCAGTCGGAAACCTTAAAACAGCTTTAAGGTGCCAGTAGAGAAACAGCTAGAGACACGTTATCCTCGTGTAACCCAATCTCTGTGGCATAATGGC